TACACGTCCTCATCTAACAGGATGGGGTCAGAGGAGGCGCAGGCTGAAGTGCTCTGGGTCAGAATACAAGGGGAAAGGGACTTAACAGTGGGTGTCTACTACAGACCACCCAACCAGGGGGAAGAGCTGGACCAGGAATTCTCGGGTCAACTTGTGGAGGCAGTTAAGTCAAGGGACGTGGTCATCATGGGTGGTCTAAACTACCCAGACATTTGCTGGGAGGAACTGTCAGCCAGGTGTGAGCACTCGCATAGGTTCCTTGCTGGGATGCAAGACCTCCACCTAACCCAGGAGGTGCACAGTCCTACCAGGGAGAATGCCCTGCTGGACCTGGTCCTGGCCACGACCTGGTGAGGGGACTCCAGGTCCTCGACCACCTGGGCAATAGCAATCATCGCCTACTGGAACTCACCATCCAACGCAGGGTGTCAAGGGCCTGCAGCAAGGCAGTAGCCCTTGACTTCAGGAGGGCCAACTTCAATGAGTTGAGGATATTGGTAGGAGAGGCAATGCAGTTCCAGAGAGTAGGGGGAACTAGGTGTCCAAGACAAGTGGTCGTTCCTTAAGGAGACGATTCTCCGAGCCCAAGGGGTGACAGTCCCAATGCGAGTCAACGGGGGCAAGAGTGCTCAAAAGCCCCCTTGGCTCACTAAAAGCATTCAGAAATGTCTGCAAGTCAAAAAGGAGGCGTACATCCAGTGGAAGGTTGGGGGGGGGGGGCTATCATCAAGGAGGATTAAACCTCCATAGCAAGAGTATGTAGAGACTGAACTAGGGCTAGCAACAAGGATCAAGGACAACAAAAAGTCCTTTTTTAAAAATACATAGGAAGCAAAAAGAAGGCACCAGACAACGTGGGGCCCCTGCAGGATACGCTTGGCAATCTGGTGGTTGCAATTTGGTGGTTAACAAATTCTTTGCCTCCATTTTTCTGAGCAGGGACTGCGACTTCTCCCCCACCGGGGTACAGGACAGACTCAAGAGTGACTCCACCACGCCTAGGGTCAGGGAAGACCAAGTTAGTGAACTTCTGGAAGGGTTGGACATGTTCAAATCAGCAGGTCCACATGCGCTCCACCCCAGGGTGCTGAGGAAATTGACAGGGGTCATCATGGGGCCCCTGGCACAGCTTTATGAGCACTTTTGGTGCTCTGGCCACGTGCCAGAAGACTGGAAGAAGGCCAATGTGGTCCCCATCTTCAAAAAAGGGAAGAGGGAGGACACAGGCAACTATAGGCCCATTAGTTTTACTTTAGTCCTGGGGAAGCTTTTTGAAAAAATTATCCTGGAGCACATCTGGGAGGGACCTGCAGGGGTGAGACTGCTCAAGGGCAACCAGCATGGGTTCATTAAGGGCAGGTCCTGTCAAACCAACTTGACAGCCTTCTACGATCAGGTCACAAAATCACTGGATGCAGGTGTTGCGGTGGATGTAGTCTTTCTGGCCTTCAGGAAGGCCTTTGACACTGTCTCCCACCCCATTCTCATTAAAAAGCTAGGTGACTGGGGCACTGATGCCTACACAGTCAGATGGGTCGCAAATTGGCTAGAGGCCCGCACCCAGAGAGTGGGGGTGGATGGGTCATAACCAACCTGGAGGGAGGTGGGCAGTGGAGTCCCCCAGGGCTCGGTCCTCGGGCCTGTACTGTTCAATTTCTTTATCAGCAACTTGGACGAGGGGGTGAAAAGCACCCTGTTCAAATTCGCTGATGACACCAAGATTTGGGGCAAGGTAGGCATGCTAGAAGGGAGGGACACGATACAACTGGACCTGGACAGGTTACAGGGGTAGGCAAATGTGAATAGGATGGGATTCAATACTGACAAGTCAGGGTACTGCACTTGGGCAGGAAGAACCAGCAGCATACCTATAGGCTGGGGGACTCCCTTGTTGAAAGCACAGTGGCAGAAAGAGATCTTGGAGCCATTACTGATTCCAAAATGAACATGGGCCGCCAATGTGAGGACGTGGTCAGCAAGGCTAACCGCACCTTGTCAGGTATCCACAGATGCATCACAAGCAGGTCCAAGGAAGTGATTCTCCCCCTCTTTGCGACACTGGTCAGGCCACAATTGGGAGTACTGTGTCCAGTTCTGGGTGCTGCACTTCAAGAGGGATGAGGCCAGCATTGAAAGGGTCCAGAGGAGGACCACTCACATGACCAGTGGGCAGCAGGGCAAGCCCTACGAGGAGAGGCTAAGGGACTTGAACCTGTTCAGCCTTCACAAGAGAAGGCTGAGGGGATCTAGTGGCCATCTATAAACTTACCGGGGGACCAGAGGGGATTGGGTGAGACCCTGTTCCCCCGAGTACCCCCTGGAGTAACAAGGAACAACGGCCAAAAGTTGATTGAGAGTAGGTTCAGGCTAGACATCAGGAGGCACTACTTCACAGTCAGGGCGGCCAGGATCTGGAACCAGCTTCCAAGGGAAGTGATGCTGGCTCCCACCTTAGGGGTCTTTAAAACGAGGCTTGATAACTATCTAGTTGGGGTCATTTGAGCTTAAACTTAATAGGAGTCATATAAGCTCTGTATGCATTCCTGCCCAGGGCAGGGGGTCAGACTAGATGATCTGCTCAGGTCCCCTCCAACCCTACTTCTATGAATCTTCACCTCTGTTGAAAACCGAGGCACACAGTTCAACTGGATTTTGGACCATATTTTGATGGTCTTTGGCCTCAATCCTATCCTCACAGCACAGTAGCCCCATTTATCCTTTCCTTATTCTCTAGTTATATACATAGCTAAAGAACCTTTTCCCACTTATTTCAGTTTCCTTTGCAATTCTCACTTTCTCTCCATTTTGTAATGTGCTAGTCACAATGTTTCTTTGCTTATTAGTTCCTTTTCCCATTCTCTGAAATCTCTCCACTGCCTTGCCATGATAGTTATTCATTCTGTTAGACCTGGAGACCCTCTCTACAATTGCTCTGACCCTTGTTTGGGATGCAAATTTCAGATCAAACTGTTCTAAGTCAGTGATCAATCTGCCAGAGCATGGAGCTCCCTACAGGTCTGGAAATTTGACAGCAGTGGAATGGTGGTGGCAGCATTAATTGCTGTGGCTCTGGAAGTCATGGCAGTTAATTCTGCTATTGCTGCCAAATTTACAGACATTTGGGAAGCCCTGTGGGCTGGATGACATGGCCCTGTGGGTCACGGTTGGACCAGCACATGGAGCCAGGCTGATGCATAGGGTTGCTTAGTGGCTGGATCTGGCATGAGGGACTGCAATTGCGGACCGACGCCATGCACTGACCCTGAACTGACTCCAGCCTGCAGGCTGACATCTGGCCCATGAGGCCAGAGGGTTGACCACCACTGCTTTAAGTCAAATGTGGAAAGACTAAGTTTATTCTCCAGTGAGGCCCTCGAGTTCATCAGTTCTACTTATTTCTCTACCCAATTCCCTTACTTTCTCAAAGTTTGCCCTCTGAAAACACAAAGCTTTATTTAGAGATCTATTTTTTGCTTATTCTTCCATTTAGATTGAATCAACTCAGGACAACTTCACCCAAAGCTTATTTTTTGTAATCAGCTCTTCTATAAGATTCTTATTTCTCACCAAATCCTAGTTTAAAACAGCATTGGTCCATGTGGGTTTTCATGCCTGCAAACTGGATTGTCCTCTTCCCTTATGTGATTTTCAGCATGGTTTCACGCTCTCATCATTAGACTGGGAACACCTAAAGCTTTGATTCTAGCTCTGTTACTAACTCATTCCAAGTGTGGACTTGAAATAATGGCAGCCTCTTTGCTTCTATATTGGTAAAATATTTATCCAATTGCTTCTTGGGGTATCGTTTGTGAAGGGCTTTGAGAAAGTACCAGCAAAAAGGAATACAAATAATAGTCTATAGTGTGTTATCTAAGAGCCTGAACATTTATTTACACTCTGGCTCGCACAGAAGATAGCAGCAATATCACCACGTGCTACCATGGAAGTCTCACATGCCAATTTTATTTTGCACTCCTTGATCGCATATTTCCTTTTTTGTATTGCATTGTTTTTAGAGGTTCATGAAATATTTTAGTGGGTTTAATGGACTTACATAAACAGCAAAAGGTGTGTAAAGACAGTTTACATGTTTTCTTTTCCATTTTACAAATATTAAAAATATTTAGTGCCCCACTACTTCCCTTCTCACCCCAGAATATTAGCCAGTTTGAACCCATTCCTGGTCCTAAACAAATGCAGTGCTCCAAATCAGTCACCTCTACCTGGTGATTCACCAAAAATTAAGCTTCAGACAGATTCCTATAAGCACTAGAGATGCACCCCAAACTCAAACTGTCAACTATAAAATATAAACACAGATACTAAAATGAAATACCAGCAAAGAAATGACATGGGAGAGGAGAGGATTAAAAGGATAAAGTAAAGAGATGGGTGATGGAATCCTTGACCAAGACACTAGACTAGGTTTAATATCCATCAAGAAAGATAGTGTCTTAAACAATCATTCTTGCTTTTCACATCAGAGAGTAGCACATTTTAGGATGTGTGAATTCAGTATTAGCTTTAGTCCTAAAAACTAATACTGAACTATTACAGTTCATGCCATATTTGTTAGGATCCTGGGCAAAGATGTCAAGGGTAGAATATAAAAGATTAAAGACTATTTTTATGGACGCTGTTTGTTCAAAGAGTGTTGAGCATGTTGGCAGAAAATTTGGTGATGCCTGAATTTCCAGTATTCATACCATACCAATCCTGTAAACAAAACAAACAGACCAATAGATTCCATTCTTCAAAGCCTTCTGATATCTTTCACAAACTCTGATATTTTCTTACAGAACTTACCACAATAGAGATGTAACCTAAAAATGTAGCTAGCTTACGCAAGTGTCCCCAAGCAAATTCAACATCTGCTCTGCTTTTGTTTAACGTGCATTAATCTGTGGTTCTATCCTACTGTAGGACACAAAATAACGTTTTCATGCATAATCCATGTGTGATCAATAACAAGACTTGTGCCAACAGTCAAAAATACATACCCAAATAAATATATTTTCCATTTTCATCCTTCTCTGCAAGAGGGCTCCCTTCTTTTTCTAGTTCTTTCCTATATCTTTTGATATTCTTCACCATCAAGTCCTTCCTGGTCAGCTCATAGTGATTTGGGAAATGGTTGACAATTTGGTCATCGGAAAGACGATAACCAGTTTCCACACTAAAAACATTTCGGATGGTTTGTATGCTCATCCTGAAAGCCAAAAAAATGCTATATGATTTCCCCCAAAGAAACAGAATTCAGGAAGAAGGCAACCAAGTTTCCATCTTCTTTAGTTTTGACTAACATGTTTTATATTTTAAATTACGTATCTGAAGGGAATCATTATCCCCTCCATATTTATATTTGTCTTTAGGAAGTATTTTTAGTTTAGGTTGTTACAACAAGTCCAACATACCTGAATCTCTGTTAGTGGGTACAGGTGAAATGCAACTAAACAAGATTTAAGGCCTTATAGATTCCCCCACTGGTTTTGAAGCCTAGTGAAGGCTAGAGTAAAGAGAACTTGTTCCCTTATGAGCCTGATGCTGTCAAAAGTCAAGTCAGTCTTCAGCACGACTTCCACATGACCAATACATGATCAAATGTTGTAACCATCTCTCTCTGAATCTAACTTACTCTTCAGAACCTCAGCATTTCTATTATAAAAATAGAAGTCTGTAACTAACAGTTCTTAAAGAAAACTTCCAAAATTTGAACTGAGCAGAACTGAAGCAGACATATTCAAGAGAATATCAAGCAAGTTGTTAACTCAGAGGTTCAGAAATGAAAATTAGACATCGTCATTTCTAACTATTTGATTTCTCCTGTAAAAACAGGGGGAGGGTCTGATGCATCTCATTTTGGTGGCACAGATCAGTGGCATTTGGAATTTATCATTATTTACACTACAGTTGTGCAATTTTAATTTTAAGAGAATGACGTATTGTAAATACAAATCCCACAGCTGTTTTCATGAGCAGCACATGTAAAACTCAAATCATACTCAAAAAGCATTGCCAAGGTATTCGTTACCAAGCCAAGTCAAACCAATTTTAGTAACCAATTTAAATAAAAATATTAACACTGGATACACAATTCTGACAGCATAAAAAGCAATAGGAAAGCAGTGCAAGTGTAATAAAGTTCCAGAATTTATTCAAATGGATGTTGCTTCATTTACACATCACATAACAAGTGATCCAGAACTGTTCCTTAAGCCAGATTTTGTAACTATTTCACAAATGGATTTAAGACAACATTTCACTCTCTCTCAGTAAATCAATGCCACATGCAAAGTCAGAGAATATTTTCCTTCCACTTTATTAACCAGTTTTGGTCCACCATTCATTCTCATCCTTGGAATGTGGCTTCTTTCTACTTCTATATAATCCCATACCATACAGTAAGAAGAGAGGTGCAAGGAAGAACATTTGAGACTAAATTATTTCATGTTACCAGATTATGTCTAGCCTTACTGCAACATCAGTGGTCAAAGTCTTGGAACAGGACAAAAAAAGGCCAAAATTGGCCTCAAACTGGTACTTTCGTCAAAGGAAGTAAAAAGTGCATCTAATTTTGTAAGTCGGTGGCATATAATGTAATTTGAATAGACTCATGTACTACCTTCCCAAAAAACTACACAGTAAAGCTAGTGGAGAAAAATTACCTCAGTGCTGAGGTGGCAGGTTTCCCAAAAGACACACAATCCAAAAGCCCACCTCCAAGATTGATGTTACGCAACTAGAATCATACAACTGTAGCTTTGTGCCCTAGGAAATCTTAATGATTTCAATGGGGCCTTCACAGACTCTGCACTAAACAGACTTTTCTACCTGTCTGAACAAAGGATCAGGGCCCTGGAATCCTGCAAAGTGTAACACTGGCAATTTAAGTGGCATACTTTCTTACAAGTTACATCAAATTAATTCTAGTTTTAAGTTGCAGACCACCTTAATTCTTTTGATAATGTTAATATATTTTGACACTTGCTTGACTTACTGAAAAGTACTTTTGCAATGTGTGTCACAAGCTGAAAAATATAAAGTTGTTATTATGTACTTACCAATAAAAATTCCAATCTTCATTTTCTGCTGCCTGAATCCATCCTCTCTTTTCAAAGTTATTTATCAGCACAGACTTCTCTATGTCGGTTACCCATTTCACTTTTCCTGCCATTATCCTAAATGGAAATCAATTTGTGAGCATGTCATGGTTTTAAGACATCTTCCCTTTTTTCCCCTTTCTTGACACATGCCAGATAAGTTCTGTGGAAAGAATTAAAAAGTATCTGCAGAGTGCCTTGCCTTTAAATTAGGAAGAGGGGAGACTAAGAACACAAATCAATATCTATAAACCAGATAAAATATGGGCAGCATTTGCTGCAAAACTCTTTCCCCCACCTCCATTTATGTTCTACAAACTACATATATGAGAAATCTGAGGACAAAGAAGGCAGTTCAAGTCTCTGTCTGTTTCTAACATTGCTAACAAGCTGTTTACCATCTCTACTGCTGGTAAAATATTTGTCCACTGAAGTCAGATTTGAAGTTTGCCCTTAGATAACTTTTACAAAATAAAGCCTAAGACATTGGAAATATTATCACTTATAACAATAAATAAAGAGCAAATGTGTTCACAGCAGATCCCATGGCTCACCTCACTCATTGAGCCTGGGAACAACAGAAGACTTCAAAAGCTACTTGTTTGGAATGTTTTACTACACAGCAATGATTTTCTATATAAAAAACACAAAATTCTACTGATCACTCATAGAAACATAGAAAAGTAGGGCCAGAAGGAACCTTGAGAGGTCATCTATTCCAACCCCCTGCCTGAAGCAGGATCATCCCTATCCAAACCACCCGGTACAAATCCACCGCCTAACCTCTTAGCCAAACTACACAGTCAACCCTGACAACAAGACACAACATCCTAACTTGCCACAGGTAAGGCAGGAGACTACAGAAAACAACATTGTGCTGCTGCAAAGGTTGTTAAAAATACACTGAAGAGATACCAGGAAGCAGGTACATCCCCACTACAGAGAAAGGCAAAATCCCCTACAGACCATACTAATCTGACCATGGGGTAAAACTCCTTCCTGACCCTGAATAGGGCAATCAGTCTGACACTGAGCAGAGGAGAAAGACCCTCTAGCCAGGAAGCACTGGTTTTAAGACCCAGCAGGAACACTGGCACATCCCAATCACAATCCCCAGCCTTGGCTGCAGCAAATACCCAATGCCAGGAAGGGCTGAAAAATAAAATAAATAAATAAATGAAACCTTGACAGTTCTTAGCAGCAGGAGGGGAAGAAAGCACTCCTGGCTCCATGCAGCAGCAAGCAAAGCCTAAAAGCATGGGAAATACCCAAAGCAGAATATAGACACAGTTATGCCTAGATCATCCTTGACCAATGCCTGTCCAACCTCCTCTTGAACACCTCCAGTGATGGAGAGTCCACAACTTCCCTAGGCAGTCTATTCCGCAGCCTCACTGTTCTGTCAGCAAAGACATTTTCCCTGATATCCAACCTAAACCTATTTGCTGCAACTTCAGCAGCATAGGTCATTCCACCACCAGCCCATGTCCAATATCTGCAGCAAGAGAAAAAAGGTGTTTTCCCTTTTCT